CAGTTGACATTTTTAGTTGAATCAAACCAAACCGTCTCAAATATAATTTTACTAAAGAATTCAATTGTTGTTTTAAATGATTTTTTTTTTTGAAATTTAAAATCGTTAGTGTCACTTGTGGGACTGTCAAAGAGGAAAGATACCTTACTGCTCGTCTGATCATGATCTATTAGGCATGGCTGGGTTGTGGTTGACGGGATTGAGCTCACCGCGCAAGACCTTTTCTGAGGTTGTACTTCTTCATCGACTCATGTGGGATGTGCCTGAATTTGACTTTATCCTAGAGGTAAACGAATCATGTCGTGCATGGGTATTCATTTCTGGGGATACAAGACCCAGAGATATGTGGAAGCCGAATGGTGAAAGAAGTTTACGAGGAGGAATGATTGTATCGTCATGTCTTTTCGAACTCTGAACAAGATAAAACTAAGGCAATTGTAGTGGCAGATTCAGTTGATCTCACTGAGCAAGAGCAAATCTCGGCCAAAATTTTGATGGCTAAGCATCAAGGGTTCACTTGTGGTGTGCCTAGGTTGCATGTGACTGTGTTAACTCAGAATCCATGGGAAATCACAAGGATTGAATTCGAGCGCCTTGATATAGAATCAAGCCGTGAATGGCTATTCCTCTCAGACAACATAAGACCTGGAGCGATTTGAGATTAGTATGACATGAAAACAATCCTTGGAAACGAGCGTAAACGTTGCAATCTGAGGCCAAAAGCTGGTTTTGGCAAATTGAAACTTCATCCATACTACTCAACCAATTACGATGTTGCTGTTTTTTTTACTTGAGCTTTGGGAAAACAAAATAGGGAAGGCGAAGGGTAAAGCTTCAGTTGTGGTAGCAGAGAGGAAGGATCCAACTCAAAAAAGTTTAAGGTAAATTTGGAGACCTATGCTAGAGTAAAGAAACAGAATGCAGCAATCTTGGAGACCTTGTCAAGGTATATTTATTGGATGTATGCACATGATCATGCAAAATTAATATTACGAATTTCCGACATTTTTTTTCCGATTCTCTAATTTTGTTGGAAAAGAGCCAAGAATTGAAGTTACAAAAATCGTAAAGAAGTAAACAAACAACCTACACTAACAAAATTAAAACCCTGAACATCTCCTATATTTCATCATCTTAGGAACTAAATGAACATAATGTCCTTTCTTCACCATATCTCTTATTACCTTGCGAGCCTCTGAAAGCTTCCCTGCCTTTCTTAAATAGCTCACCAATGTACTATACACTACGAAATTCGGGTTACACCCTCTAGATTCCATTTCCTTTAGCAACCAACATGCCTCTTTGAACTCTCCCGCCATACACAACCCGCGAATCATCGAGTTGTATGTGAAAACATTCGGTAACTGCCCTTTTAGCGTCATTTCTTTGAACATCTCCTTCGCTTTATCGAGCTCCCCGGATACAACATAACCTGTAATCATCACGGTGTAACAGACAACATCCGGCGTGCACCCAACTTTCACCATTTCATCTAGAAAGTACTTGCACGCTTCTAGATTCCCTGCACGGCTCAGACCGTCTATCAAAGTAGTGAAATGGATGACGCTCGGGTTGATCCCCACTTCCTTCATATGGCTCAATGTGGTAAGAGCAGCAAGCGGTTTATTTCCTTTCCCCAAAATGTGCAGCATAATGTTGTATGTATAGAAATCCGGAGGCAAACCATCTCGAGCCATCTCATCAAACAGCCTGTCGAACCGATCCATTTTCCCCAACCTATAGTTTGTCCACATGAGGATGTTATAAGTTAGAACATCAGGCGAAAACCCGTCTTCTAACATCTGCTCGTAAACCCACTCAATCAATTTATACTGCTTTACACCTAGCAAAGAATTCAAAATCGCGTTATAAGAGTGTTTGAAAGGCCGGTAATTGAAAGTCTTCGACTTTATGAACTGCACAACAGCTTGTTTCGCCAAACCTGCTTCACCGCAACTACAAATCAACAAATTAAACGTCCTCGCAGTTGTCGGGTATCCGACTTGAACCATCTCATCAACTAATCTCCACATTGCCTTATACTCTCCACACTCTGCAAATATCTTCATAAGCAAATGATAAGAATTCACTGTGTGACTGAAACATCCTTGTTCTCCAGACCAAATGAAGAATCTGTAAGCTAGTTTCGCACATCTGGTCTTATTATCATCATAAGACAAGTTCCTTAAGATCCCTCCAAGAACCTCCCTAACGAGAAGCCCTGAGACTCTAACATTCAACTCATCTAAAGCTGAGTTTGTACTGAATCCAGATTCATCTTCCTTTAATCTCTCGAGAATACGAGACGCACCAAGCTTGGCACTTTCCAAAAACCTACTACGAACAGAGATTTCTTCTCGATTGAAGCTTTCATGCTCATCGACACTTGTTTCCTCGTCAAATCCACAATTCGAATCTAAATCAAGGAACCCATTATCGTTATCATCATCACCGAAGCTCCCATTGCAGAATTTTCTGGAGGTGAAGAGAAAGCGATAAGCTTTACGAGCTACATTTGTGCCTAAAACAAGTGCCAAGTTCATATCTGATCTCAATCCCCATTATTCTCTGCGATCTTTCC